TTGAGGCTATAAACTGTGAAGAGCTCTTTCGGCTGCAGCTGCTACGACTGAGGCAGCTGCCCCATTGAGTGTCCTTGAAAGAGACTATAACTGGCTGCTCTGTATGTGTGTGTGTGTGTGCGTGTGTGCGTATGTGTGCATAGCGTTTATCTAGTCAGCCAGTTGCCTACTTGCCTGCAGCTAGAAAAACGGTGAATAATTCAACTCAAACCAAGATGTAGAAATTTATTGGACCAGCTTAAGTTCTATGCTATACGCAGAGCTTTTAATTTGCGGCACTTGATAAGCCTAAAACTACAGCTTTTAATTATTAAGACAAGTTGGGTGCGGTTATCTCTGAGTTGGTATTAAGTCGAGCTGGTCTCAAAACGGATTACCAATTTTCTGCACAGTTGTGTCTGCGAAGTTGAGCACATTAATTTTAATTATTCGTTAGAAAATTAAAAAAAAAAAATGAGATTCCAAACCGGGTTCATTAAAGTCTTACTCGTCATATAGCTTCTTTATGAGAACCTACTTTTCGATCGATCGTTTCTATCGGAGTAATATGATTTAATGGTTCGATCCGGACGGATCCGGAATATGTACCTATGCAATCTGAGAGACTAGTTGATGTAGAATACATATAGTTTTGAGACCGGTGACTTTTCCTTCTAAGTGTTACACCTATCATGACGAAATCAGAATACTCTTTACAAGAGCAAAAAAAGTTCAGCACAACTTCAATCAATGTTAAGTTTCAATAAATGAGCCACAAATCACTGAGAAAGTATGCCGAGACAGTCTTGACAGACAATCCTGGCTACATCAACCTGTCTATTCATACTGATCAGAAATATATACACTTTGTGGTCTCTGTAATGTCGCCTTCTATGCTTTTATCATTTTTAACTGAAATATTAAATGCCCTTTGCTGGGTTTTACTGAGTTCTGCTCTACCATTTTGCGGTAAGTCTTTCCGGCCTTTAAGTTCCTTGTTGTCAAAGTGTCAAAGTAAGCTCGCTCAGAGCAAAGGGCTTAAATTAAATTAATTGACGAACACTTGTAAAGTAAATTAAAATTGCCCGACTCAGTCGCTGACTGACTGACTGACTGAACGGCTGGCTGGCTGACTGTATGTGCTGCTGTTGCTGCTTCTTCTTCATTTGGCTGTTGGCGTCGTTAAAGAGATTACAAAGGGTCAAAGGGTTAGCTGCGATTGCTCATAATTGCCTGACGCCTGCGGCCAGCCCGAATTTTCTTTTTCCATTGATGCTTTTTTCTTCTTGTGTGTGTGTGCTATACAAACACCATACACACACACACGCGCACCACACAGCTGACATTTGCTTGTCAAACTAATTAAATTTTTGGCTGGCCAGCAGCAAGAGCCAAATTGGCGCCTGGAATTGGTAATTACCAGGGCTGAAGTGCAACTCAAACACGTAAAAGAAAACAAGGCAGAAACGAGAAACCGACTCCAAAACGGACCGTGGTCCGCAGTTGATGCTGCATCAACTCCTGCTGCTGCTACTGCTGCTGCTGCCGCTGCAATTAGCCAACAGTCGCACTGACAATCAAGCAAAAGGCAAACGGCGCCAAGCGACTGACAACGCGTGCATGTCCTTTGTGTCCTTAGCTATAGAGTGTGGGTGTTGCGGGTGCTGCTGCCTAATTACTTGTAAGTTGGCGAATTTGTGGCAAGGCGTTTGTCCTCCAGCAACCAAATTCAATTTGGCCCCACACTGCGGTCAGTTGGGCAACAGTTGCAGCCATATCCATGTCCCACGCCCAACGCCCAGCGCCCACCTTCCACGCCCATTTTCATGTCTGCCGGATGCTGACATCGCGCACATGCACATCCGTATCCGGTTTCCTGTAGCGACAACGATAACGACGCCTTCTTGATTGCCAGCGCGTAATTATTTTTTAAGCACTTTGTCTCCCTGCAAAATTAGACTTAACTAAGCCAATTTTTTGGCGTTCCATTTTTTTTTATTCGTTGTTCGCTATACCCTCTATCCATAGAAATATTGGAAAAAGTATATTATAAAGTTGTGAAAATATGTGTTATTCAATTGAACGGATAGTAGTTATTATGAAGCATACATATCTCATTTGAAGCAAGGCTGAAATAATTTTAGCATAGGTTATTACTGGCTGTTGTCTAGGATATCCCATCTAATTGAATTCATTGATCTCTAAGAACTTAGGAGGTAGAGTAAGAAAGATTGCTACGTGAGTTCCTGTATGCCAAATACTAATTAAAATAAAGACCCATTTGGGATATTTCGCCCTATTAGCCTGATATTGAAGAATACTGAATAATTAAATTATCGTAATATTCTATGAATAATTCTATAATATTCTATGAACATAAGAAATGTGTCAAATTTTTTGTAGATAAATATTTATCATATTTAAAATACTTATTCTCTTATATCGGTCTATACATTTGTTTTGATTCCGAAGGCTCTTATGAACTAGAATATTAAAGATTGTTATGTGTGTTCTCATATGTCTGAGTCTGATTAAATATGACTTCAGATGTGGCTGCTTATTTAATTATAGGGTATATACTAGTGTAGCAACTGCGACTATGCATTTTGAGCTGCCTTTTTTTTTTTGTCAGTTTGTGTGGATTGTGGCAAAATTTGACTAGCGGACCACGAATGCCCTGGGTCACACACACACACACACGCACACACACATCCTATTTGTTGGTGCTGTCGGCTCTCTTGGTTTCCATTTTTTGTGCTTCTTCCTTTTTTTTTTTGGGTTTTGTTTGGCTGCTTTGTCCAATTAGTAACAGTTTGGGTTACGATTTCATTTCTTTTATTGTGCCTCGTTATCCTTTTTATTTTGCCAGCGCTGGCTGCCGCCTGCTGCCAGTGCGCAAATTTGATATCCTTGTTATGGCAAATTGTTGTATGTACTCGTACAATTATTTTCGCTGCCGTCTCGTGTCGCTGGGGTATTGCGTGTGCCGTAACCCGCTCCAGCAGTCTTTCTCTATCTCAGATCTGCCTCTCTTTCTCTCTCTCTCATTGTTTCTCTCTCTCGCTCTTTGTCTCTGTGGCAATCGAATTGTATTTATGTTTATTTATGCTGTTTGAAAAAAAACGTCGCTGCACTCAACGCTGCTGGCTCCTAGCGTCCTTGTTCATTGTCCTGGCGTTCAATATTGTCGCCCCTTCGATTATTTATGATGCTCGCTTGCAGCTCGCGCCGCACTCCCAGCGGGCCTGTGGCCAAGTTTTAGTAGTCATCGTTTGCCCAGTAATAAATTTATGCTTTTTTATTTCCTCCTGTCATAATTTTACCCTCAAATAAACACACACACTTACACACACATGCGCTTATATAAAGTGCTTGGGCATTTTTCTTCGCCTCGTGCAGCATTTTCTTTGTGGCTCCTCCTAAGCACCGAATGCTGTCTAAAAATTTTTCCAATTGATAAATTATTTTATGGCAAATACACAAATTTTCTCATACGCATGTGCTGTGTGTGTGTGCGTGTGTGTGTGTGTGCGTGTGTGTGCGTGTGCGGTTTCTCTTGTTGTTGTGGTTTGGTTTCCGATTTTCCCTTTGGGTTGCCTCCCATATTTTAAGACTCTTTGGTCTTCGCTTATTTTCCTTGCACATAAAAAAACTCTGCATGGGCTTATGTGAATATGTGTACATAAGTAATATCCCTGTGTATTCTTGCATATTTCCGTCCATATCCTTTGGGCCGGTCCTTGTCATTGGCACGAGCTGCTCAGCCGCTCAACACACACTCGACTCCTGCTGCACAGCTCAAACACATAAAATCAATCATATTTGCTGGATATTTTCTTGTTTATTTTTTTTTCTCAGTTTTTCTTTTGCCGTTTTTTCTCTGCCTCTCATTTTGTTCGCCCCCAACTTGTCTTTATCGTTGTGTTTTTTTTTTTTTGTTTACTTGCGTCCCAATTTGTTGCTTCGTTTGTCTTTTCTTTGAGTTTTAGTTTCCTTTTTTTTTTTTGTTAGCGCCTCAAGCTTTACTTCCAACGACAGCTTTAACAACTAGCTCGAGATTAATGTGACGATATAGCATATAGGGTATCTGGCAGTCGTTCCTGTGCTTGTTTGTGCAAAATCTAACAAATTCGAATCAATTTGTAAAGCATTTAAGTTCTTTGCTATGCGTAGACCTTTAAAAATATGCAACATTAATTTTAATAGAATTGTTTATGGATGGAAGGGGGGCTAGTATATGAAATGTGGGTGTGGCTGGGCGCATGCTGGCTAGCAAATGATGCGCAGTTAGTTTATTTTTTTGTGTGTGTCATGCATGCAGAACTGCCATGTCATATTAAATGTAGAGGCAGCCGGCAAAAAAACATAGAGAATGGAAAAAAAAAAAACAAGAAAATGCAGAGCAAATCCGAGCGAAAAGCCGCGCCAAATCAAAGCCAACAATATTTTTCAGGATTATTTCAGTTGGCTTGCCGTTGACTGCACAAGCAGAAAGAGATAGTTAGAGAAAAAGTGAAAAAGAGAGATTGGTGAGGGGGGGGGGGGGGGGAGTGGGGAGAGAGAGAGACAAGCTGGGCCATGCTTTGGTGACACACCAAAAATGTTGTGTTCCCAAACATTTTCTGTTAATTTGGCAGCGTGAGCTGTGTTTTTTTTTGGCCCGGCATCGTTTAGATTTTTTTACGCTTTACTTGAGTTTTATTCGTGATACAAAAAAGCAACAAAATAAAAATCAAAAACAGTATAGAAAATACTATAAACTGCAGCACCCCTCGCCAAACGCCGCTGCAGATATGCAAAACGCAGCGCGCACATAAATTTTAGGGTTTGCTCTACGCTTATTTGCATAGGAATTATGTATTTGGGCACAACGGCTTAGCAGCATTACACAACACACAAATTCACATACAAATACACACTCACACACACACACACACATATATACTCACAGCACACGGCTGTGGACATTGTGGTTATGTGGAAAAACTAACGCATATATTGTTTTTGCTTCTATTTTGCAGCTATAAATTTGAAACGCCCCAGGAAAATGCATTGCAGCAGAACAAGCAATTAAAATAGAGACCGAAACCAAAGCGGAGACTAAGGCTGAGGCTGCGATTGCAACAAGGAGTTCTTCTGCGAACGAGTCCTGCCCTGAGTGTCGACTGTTTGGTCTCGCCCTGTGCTAAAAACCTATTTTGAATAATTAAAATTCAGTAAGTGTTGCTGCTGCTGCTGCTGCTGCAACTTTTGCAACAATCTGCAGGCGTCTGTAACAAACACAGCAACAACAAGAACAACAATGATATAATTAATTCAATGCACCTGAATACTCAAGCTTACACACGAAACTCCTTCAAATCCAATTGAGTGCAACAGCCGCAAGTGCACAGCCACAAAAACAGCAGTTAGAACAACTGCAACAACAACAACCACAGCAAGAACCACAGCTACAACAACAAGTAAGTTTACCCAAGCCAGCTGTAAAATGGCGGCACACCGGTCAATGGCAACAATTAGCCAATGCAAGGACAAGCGAAGACATATCCGCAGAAGGACACAACTAACCGAGTTCCTGCGCCGCACACTGCCCATTGTCATCATCGTCATGCTGATGCTAACACAGCACTGGGAAAGCGGTAAGTGGTAGAGCGGTACCTTAAGTTATCCAGCTTTCAAAAACAATCACATATGCTCAGCGAAGAGCAGTCAGCTTACCCGAAATGCCAGCACACAGCTTAGAGCTGAGCGCGTGTCGTGTCGTGACTCTGCGTTCTTGATTACCTCCGGTGCCTATAGTCCGATCCTTATGTCTTTATGTTGGGACACCATCACATACAAAAGTATGTGTATGCCCAAGTGCAGGGCTTTTCCAATGAAAATGGGGCTTTACTCAGCTGGCCAAAAATTGAAATATTGGTATATATATAAGTGTGTAACATATGAATAGCTACATATCAAGATTAGTGTCAATAGATCTTAATATATCCAAGCTATGTTTCAAAGCGAAAGTATAAAATTCAATTAGTGGAAAGGGGTGAAAATTCGAACGCAATGAAATCAATTTCGCATACTCTACGTGAATAAATGTTTCAAATAGCAAGTCTCTAGATGAGTGCATTAATTCAGACAGAGTCGTCCCCTCTCTGCACGTTAACCACAAGATCAGATCAGACCAAATCGATTTGAAATTTCTGAAATCTGAAATTTCACTTTATTTCTTTTCTGTTTGTCAAAATATACCAATCCAACCATGTTAAATCAGAACTTTGTTTAGCTTTAAAGCAAGTTACTAAGGAAATTTATACTTTTGTATAAGTTTTTAACTTATTTAAGGGGGCTTATTTATGGATTGTTTATGATGTTGTCCACTCCAAGAACAGGTCGAGTCGAAAAGTAACACATTATGATATTACTTTCTCAATAAGCAAAGCAGAAGGAGATAGCGAGATTATCTTCTGCATTACAAAGCTTCAAATGTGCGACAATATCTTCTTGCGACAAAAACCAGAAATATGTTCTTAGCCTTATTTTGACTTTGAGAGTCGCGTGCGTGTTTAAAATTTGCTCGTAAAAAGCATCCACTCTTTTCCATCTCAGGTATCCCAGTTCTCAAGTCAACCGGCATAAAGTTGAGCTGGAGATGGGCAACCGCTAAGCCATTCAATTGGCAGTTCTACAAATTGTGCTGGGCACTGGATAGCCTTGGCAATATCCTTGTTGAATTAATCTCACTCGGGCAGATAAATATTTCAAAAGCGAAACTTAAGCAATTAATTTCGCTAATTGCTTTTCTTCGCAACGTTTTTGTTTCGTGTTGCGGCGGCGATGGAGTGGCTGGAGCAGGGTAGGCGGGGGATCTGGCTGGTCGTTGAGTTTTGCATTCAAATGCATTTCAAGGACTCAACTTTGGCGCCGCACAAAACTCAATCTGACATTTATGCGAATGTCCACGGTATCAAATAAGAGTAATGACATTGCAGCTGCCCTTAAGACGAGCCACAGGACGACGACTGAGAAGGAAACCCAGGGCCGCAAACGAAGGATCGTCTTGGGAGCTGTTGCCCGGCTACACAGACAGTGCAATGTCCTTTTGGCTACTCAAACATTCCAGTGGCTATTAGTATTCATATCTTGACTGAACTTAACTGAAAGCTTAAACTGCTGCCAGCCTCGGCGTGCAGTAGGGCTAACGTGGAAGGCGGTGGGAATTGAATGGAAGGGTGCGAGGAGAGGACGTTTTTAAGACCCTCTGCGCGCGTTTTGCATGCATTTTCATTTTGTGCTAGAATTGCTGAAAAAGATGCAATTAAATATTAGGACAAGGGGTGTCAAGCTGCGCATGGAATATTCGAGTCCTTTTTTGCTATCCTCTCTGTCTTTTTCTTTCTCTCTGCCTCTTTGTATCTCTCTCTCTGTCTCTTGCCCCCTGCTTCTTCTCTATTCCTTGCGGTTGCAGCTGCTGTCAGTGGCAAAGAACGCATTATTAATTTATTTTTCCCCAACTTGCAAGATGAATAAGCAAAGAGCAAAAATTTTCCACGACTGACTACGCTTTTACTCTCCAGCAAAATTTTCTATTTAAATGTCGCTATGCAGACCCCCACCCCGCCCTTCCAAATGCCCGTGGTTCCTTCAATTTCGCTGCTGCCAAGTCATTTTGCATGCAGTTCTGCTTTGACCAAGTTAACTGAAGTCGACGTGCTTCGACATGGCCCAAAAACGGTTCCTCAATCTGCTGTCCATCAGTTGGCTTCGATCGTGTGATGGCTGTGCGCGCTGTCTCTCTCAGTCGTGGCAGCAGCACCGCAAGGAAATAAAATCCAAAAGTGAATAATGAACCGCAAATAACTTTACTTTGTGTTGCCAAGTTTGCACAGCCAACCATCCAGCGCTACCCAGCAAGACCCAGCAGCACCCAGCTGCACTCATCAGCAATTCCACCACCCACCCATCAGCTAGCGGCCATCCGCCATTCGAATTGCATCCGTTTCTAACCAAATCCAACTTGCCGCCTCTCGTGCAGTTGTTTCAATTGCTGCGGGACGTTTGTCTGTGCTATCAGCCAGCAGCAGCAGCGACAGCAGCAGCAGCGACAGCAGCAACAGCAGCAGCAACAGCAACAACAGCAACAGTTGCAACAGAAGTTGTTTCAGTGTCGGTAACAATTATTTCGGTTTGTAGCTAGTTGAGTTGAGTTGAATTTGGTTTGGTTTTTAGTTGGATTCTTTTTTTTTATATTTTGTGAATACCCTTGAATCGGCTACTTACATTTTTGTAAGTTGCGCATTGCAGCATAATTATATATAATGATGATCTTTATCAATAGCTTTATGTGTTAGTCTCCCAGTTTTAAATCTTATTCGATGAACTATGCCGATATATATGCATTTAAAGATATATTAAACTAGCCCAGCCATATATATATATATAAATATCATAAACTTTTCACATTCTGAATCAACATTATAGGACCAATCGGCGTGTAGTAAAAATACTACCTAGTATAAATTAACATATGTTGCTTATATGCTAGGGTATTCAATGTTTAGCACTCTAAAAGATAACTATTCCAAACTTTTGCTGTTTCTTCGAATATTTGCATTTCCGACTGCAGCTCCCAGTAGTCTTTGACCACACTCCAACACCAGGCACCATCCAGCACTTGAAGCTCATCATTTGGTCTGCTGATGAAGTGCAAATCGTTTTATGAATATCAGCTGAAAGAGCGCTGCGAACCGAGTGTATTTTATTTAAATATTTGTGTCACAAATCGCACGCGTTGGTTTATCTGTGCATTCGCTGAGCTTTTGGGGCTGTCTAAACCCCAACTAATCAAGTTGACATAGGTTTACCTGCGAGCTACCTGGCAAAACTTTGACAAAACTTTCGATTTTCGAAAACTTTAGCTAGCTGTCCCAGATAAGAGTTCAATGGAACTGAAATTTATTAACTGCTTTGCCAGCACATGCAAATAAATCAGCAAAAAAGAACACAACACAAAAGTAAAAAACAAAATACATTTAAAATAAAAATGATAAACCGAAAACTTTTGAGGAAGGCGTGTTTGAGCAAGGACTGAGATAAGCCAAGTCAACCGTTAAAGTTACGCCCTCAAAAAAACCTCAAGGATATTGACATGTGACTAAAATGCCAACAAATGTAAATGCAAAAAGCCTTCGAACGCAGGGGGAACTTCAAGAGTTGGCACACACTTTCATATACAGGGTATTTGCAGTGTATATATAGCTTATGGGGTGTGAGCTGCTATACCCTTTAAGTCTTATCGCTTTCCAAGAATTATTGAGTGTGAATGTGTTTGCGGGGTATTTAACGTATTTGGCATAATGCAATATGCATCAGAAAGCTTACATTTTAAATAATTTACGGTATATTTTGATTAGGCGAAGCTTATTAACCACTCTGCTTATTGTAAGACTGATTAAACTGTAAGTAAATTTAAATTTAAAGGTACGCAACAAAAAACAGCTATGTATTTTAGACGCTGCAAGCCCGCGAAACTTGTTATTTCTAAACGATATTTAACAAGGACTTTAAGAGTATCTGCTTTAGATATGTAAGTGTATTTACAGTTTCTTGAAGTACTTTGACTATGGGCGATCTTATATGTCTTTAAGTTGATTTGGCAGTCTTAACAGGGTATCTTTTGGCTAAAGCTAGCTCCTGATTCGTATATAGCATGCATTTATCAGCATTTCCCAATGATAAGCGTTATTGTCAAAATGCTTAAAGGGTATCATTAGGTCCATCATGCATGTGTATTCATGTATAACAAGCGATAGGCATTCAATTTAATACTTCTTAAGCATTACCACGCGTTTATACGACTTTCTAAATCTTTACCTTAGCTAATCTAAGTCTTGTCGTAGGTCTGCCTACAGGGTATTATTAAGTCGCTTACTGTGTGCAGCATTGCAGGCACTTGTTGTAGGTGCGGCTGTGTCAAGTATTTGCACTTGCGCTAAGCAAAATTTACGCGCATTTGTTTGTACGACTCCAGAGAATTGCTCGGCGGCGTTTCGTGTTCAAGTGAAAATCGATGAGCTGTAAGTGCGTGTGTGTATGCGCGTGTATGTGTGCGTGTGTGTATGCGTGGGCATGTGTGTGAAGTGTGCGTTACGCTATTGCCATTGTTGTTTGGCCACAATGTTTTCTTTTTTCCGCATCGCATGGCTTTTTATTGCTTTTCTCTTGCTTTTTATACCCTGAACTCATTGAAGATCGTTAAGAAGGGTATCATGTTTTTGTGGAAGTATATGTAACACGCAGAAGGAAACATCTCTGGCCTCACGCTGGAAAATTCTTTATCAGCATTAATCCAGCCGAGTCAAACTAACGATATCCGTTTGTGTAAACGCGTCGATCTTGGGGTGCAACATATATGACCCGAACATTTCAGATAGTTCGCAATTTAAGCACCGACGCGTGAAGCACAGTCACAGTGTAATTTGCGCAGCAAGTGGCGAGAGTGTATGGGTGTTTCTGTGTGTGTGTTTAGAAGTTAGTTGAAATATATGTATGGGCTGCTCGGCAGTGTGCTCAGGGTATCTACTAGTTGTGTGCTCCCGACACTTACTTGTTTTTTTGCCGCTGCTGCTGGGGCTGTCGGTTTCTGGTG